TCTTTTCCATTTTCAATTCCATACCTCTGAGCTGAGTGAGTATTTGGAGCTTGTTCAAGGCTGGAACCAACAGCAACTGTCCTGCTACATTTGACACTGTCTTGATCCAGTCTTTGTGAAATTTGTCTTTCTTTTTTTATTTTTTTTACTCAGGATTTTATCTGGTCAAAACTGATGCAGTGTGTCTGCCTCTTGTTGAAATAACCACCAGTCCTGACTAAGAAAAGATAAATCTCTGCCTTAAAATGATGTAAAACATGTCAGGAGAGCAAGGATGAACAGCAGGGGAGGAAAGACAGGGTATGACTCCTCAGAGAAAAATTAAACAGTAGTGTTTGCAACAGTGGGGCTGTAGATAATGTAAAATTTACTTGCTGTAAAAGGATGCCTGTGATCATGTTTTGTTTCTGTGCATCTTATCTAGTGAACTGGGACTTGCCATGTTACTGCTTCAGTCTTGGGCACTAAAAGTGTGCATTAGCCCTGGAAGTTGCAACTTTAAATAATTTACAGCAAGGAGAGGAGATCAGGATGGCACATTTCTGGAGGACTCAGATTTCATCTTGGAGCTGACTGCTGATGCACACTGGTAACCTGTGTAAGCTACATACTTGGCTCCTCTGAATTCAGTGCCAGAGGCATTCTTCATACTCTAGTACTTGAAGATACTTGTTAGTACTGTGAAAGGAATCAAATGTTTTCTGTTCCAAGGAAGATTATTCTTTTTTTCTCCCCTGTGGTCTTTGTTTTACATGCCCTCAGCAGAAAATTTCTTAAGGAAAAACCAGACATTTGTCCTTTCTCTGCCCACTTAAACAGTGTTTGTCCTATATTGGGACAATATTGTCCCTATATTGTATATAGAACAACTCCTAGATACACGGTTTCTGTCATGTGCAAGTTTAGTTGCTGCTAATGTTTTTGGGCCTTTTCATGGTTGCTTTTGTAAGTGAAAGCCTTATAAAGAAATTGTAGGGCTTAAATAACAACATCTTATTCACAGCAATGCTGTACCTAGATCTTATTTCACTGCTGCCTTCTGTTTTAAATTGTGTTGTAAAACTCCTTGTGAAAATTTAATTCCACTTCAACCTGTGACTTGATAGCAGAATGGTGAACCATTCATTTAATTACTGAAACTGTGCTCTCCAGCAGGAGAGCCAAGACATATGCAAGCTGAGTGGCAATATTTTAACTAATGAGCAAAAGCTTATGGACTGGCCAAGGGAAAGGATAAGTTTTGAAAGACAAATGACAGCAATACATTTTTAGTTGCAATGGGTGAGCTCTGGCAAACTCTGTTAGTCTGCTATATTAGCTGGTGTAGCCAGGCAATTCCTTAAGATATAGATGTTAATGCTCTGTATACACAACTTCTTCAGAGCTTCAGAATTCATTTAAGTTTACTCCATGTCCAGAATATGATCCAAAACACTCCAAGGAAATGTCTTCTAGAGGAATTTTTGTGATTTCTCCCCATGCTTTCCCACTCTCCCCACCCCCACAGTGGGATGGACTGTGATGATCACAAATGATTTGTAAATTTAAAAAATGAATCACAGAAGCTCTGCTCCCTGCAGGGGAACATATTTTCTCCATAGGGATAACCTGTGCTATGGTCATAGGTGCTGAATTTCTTGTTTCTGCTATCTGTTTGATCCCCCAAATCCCAATTTGTTCCATCCTCCATTCTTCTCTAGAGTTGGTGTCAGTGTTTGCCCAAGACCATCATGTCTTCATCATGTGGAGCTCTGTATTGCTCTGTGGGTTCTAGTTTTCATTTCCCTGTGCCCATGTGCACAGTTTAGGTGGCATGAAGGATGCCCTTGACCAGCTGTGCTGCCTCACTCACCCCTGCCCATCCATGAAGCATCAGCATCCTCCTTGGCCATGCTGCACCACTGATAATCTGTAATACACAAGAATATATGATAGATGTGTATAAAGATAAACCCAGACACACTCATCAATCCATCTTAACATTTTGGAGGAATATTTATATTTAATAATTGTTAGTACTCAGGAGGACAGCAAAAGAAAAAGCACATTTTATTCTCAGATGTATAATTTGCCAGTGCTTGAACTCATTGAAGTGTGTTTCTCATACCACCTCCCTCTTCCTCCTTCTCCCACTTGTCTATAAATATGGAAACAAGATTTTGAAGCAATATAAATTGTAGCTATAGGATTTGGGTATGTGTGTGACCTTTGAAGGCTTTCTAGAAATGCTTGTTACCGCTTTAAGCATATGCACTTTCCTGACAGATTGAGGCTTGCTTCTTGTGTATCAGATAAATATAGCATAACTGGAAAATAACAGAAATTATCACTGAAATTGTAACAGACAACTGAAGTGAATTTTTTATTGTATGTAATATATAGTCATTGTGACCACCACTTTGACAAAATTTGACAATTTCCCTTTTCTTGGAAAATATTAGAAGATTCTTTCATGCAATGATTTAAGCAGTTATTTCATTTCTCATCACAGAAGAATATGCAATTCTACTCTATAGCGAACATGGTTAAATATCAACTAGCGGCTTTTGTCAAAGTGTTTTTGGCTAGGAATCAAGTCACTTTAAAAAGAACAAAGCATTCCTGTATTGTTCTTAATAATGACATAAAACTGCTCTTATTCCATTAGTTACAGAATTAAAAAATAAGCTTGTGTTCTCCTCAAGGCTTAGCCAATTTAGTGAAGAAAGGAAACATAATTGATGCCTGGGTAATTGAAATAATCAACAGTACAACCAAGCACTTAAAATCAATGGTTTATAGAAAGATATGATAATAGCAGCATAACTGAGAGGAACATAATCTGTGGGAAAAATCATTAGTAGTGCACCATTGTTTTTATGTTGTACCAGGATTATAAGCAGTAAAAATGTCACTCACAGTTCCCATAAGCAAGATAAAGCTTTGATGACAGTGGGTACACAAGAACCTGGAAATGTTGATTAAATTCAGAGCTTTCTCAGTTCCTGGTAACTAACATGTTGTGGAGTTGATTTAGATTTCAGAGAACTGTTATTTCAGCTGATTTTTTTTTCCTCTCCATTCACAGTAAGCTTTATTTTGGGTGGAATGTAAATACGTGAATGTTGAAAAATCACTAGCACGTACGTAGTCATCTTTTGATAACAAGAGATCATCCTTAAAAAGCAGAATGAAGACAGAAATAACTTGTACAACCACCAAGCATTAGTCACACGTAGCTCTTATATAATGCTTACGTCTTCAATCAGCATGCTGGCAGCTGGGCTTCTTTGTAATATTTGTTTGGAGGAGAAGCATCTATCTCATTTGGCAGGGGAAGAAAATGAAGCCAAGAGTTAAGGGACATGCCAGGGGGCACACAGTGCTTAGCTGGTGAGAGTATTATAACTAAGGAGCGTCCATCATCCTGCATCAAGCAGAGCCAACATAATCCACCAGCAGAGTGGATTCTATAGCGGTGTCTCCTCGTGTGCCTTCTGCACTCAAGCCCTGGCCTATTGCGTAGTTTTTTGAGGCAGAGCAAGTGAATGCTCCACTGCAGCGCTTTTGTAGTTTTCCCTTTTGTTTGTTGTTCTAGATGAGGAGGTGTATTTCTTCTTCACTCTGTCACATCTTGATGGAAAGGACAAATAATACGTAGCATGAAGTACCCAAAATGACTTCTCATGCACTCAAAACCCAAAATGTAGTAGGCATGAGCCTAACACCAAGAGAAATGCTGATATGTGCAGATTTTCCTTTGAGGATTTGGCCACTGCACTGTAACTATAATCACAGTAATATTATAGTAATCGTAGTAATGTATGAAAATGGACTTGATTCTCTGGGAGAAAAGCCCAGTAATGATTTGTTAACCATTCTGGCTGTTTCCTTTTGTCCTGGTCCTGTTAGTTCATATATATTGAATGTTTGTTCCCAACTGAAGAGCAAGGCTATTAACTGGGGTTGGAAACACTTTGTGATCTCATTCTGAAAGTTAATTTCTCGAGGCTGAAAATAAATGCATTGTAAGCAGGTTTTAATACTAACAAGTACAGCAGCTCAGAATACTTTTGGGGGGAATTTTTATTCTTAGCTTCTTGCTGGTAGACAGGGACTTATGTTATAGCTTGGTTTGTCCATAACCATATGTTATGTTTTCAGTTGTTTTCACAATTACCCGTGACGAATGGTGCCATTTTCTTTGATGATGTTCTAAGATGAAATGTCGATGTCCCCAGAGAAGGCTTAGAACTTTGTGTCATTTTACATCATTTTTAGAATGATGTAAAAAACTCAATGCAAAGTGTTGAAAACCATGACTCCAGTTATCAAACAAAACTAAGATGCCCTTTTTTTAAGGCAAAAGATTAAATTACATTACTATTAGATAACCAATAAAATGACTGTAAAAATTATAGCAAATGTAATGTTTTTTAAAAAGAATTTATTTAATCTGTTATATAAGGTCCAGGGAAAATGAAGAAGAGATAATTACTTATAAAGATGTAAGGTTGTGCACAGAGTGCCATCTGGTAGTAATTTTAAAACAAGTAATTAGTTTCTTTTACTTCATGCAGTGTAATTGTGGAACTTATCACCACAGGGTTTACAGGGGCCAGAATTGCAGTTGGGTTCAGAAAGAAGCTGAGTGAGTTTATGTGAGATATATTAATAAGAGAATACGAAACAATCTAAATGCAATCCTGCTATTCTTTGAGGGTTTCTGAAAGATGTGAGGATTTAGAAGAAAGATCTGTTTGTGTTCAATATTATTATTTTTTAAATGACATTCTCCTGTCACAAAATGAATTTAGATTTTCTCACAAACCTGACAATGTTTGTAATTGCAACTGTGTGGAGATTCTCCTTTGTGGTAGTTAAAAGTTCGTTATAGGCCTTCAAGTCACCTACCCTTACTCTCTGAGGTCACATGCACTGAACATGTAGAAAACTCTTGCTGCAAGATGTCTGATGATGCAAAATAATTAATATTCCTGCTTTTTGTTTGCCTTAGGACGCCAAGGCTTGTTGGACCATTCGCCACACAATGCAGGCTCAAAAGTGAAAGAGAGGAAACTACATGGGACTTGTCCTCCTGTTGGTCGTGGAAACCATGGAAAACCATGTTTGGGTGAAAGCAGCCACAGGTCCTCATTTTTCAGTCCCCACAATGGTTTTCACACGATACATTCAGAGCACAGTCCTGTGAAGCCAAGGATAATTACAGTGGTGAAACCCGGGGGACGAACGCTCAGGAGGATAACCTTGCTTCTCAACAGGAGATCAGTACAGACCTTTGAGCAGCTGCTGGCTGACATTTCAGAAGCTCTGGGATTTCCTCGTTGGAAGAATGACCGTGTGAGGAAGCTGTACAATCTGAGAGGCAGAGAAATCCGAAGTGTTTCTGAGTTCTTCAGGGAAGGTGATGCGTTCATAGCTATGGGGAGGGAGCCGCTCACTTTGAAGGACCTGGAGGTGGTATTACAAGAGCTTTATCCTGAAAATCCTTATGCTGCCAGTGCTGCCATTCAGCAGAATGAGGAGCAGTCCCAAAAACTGAAGAGTGGGCTGTATGACAAGGCCTCAAAAGTAGACAGTGGCTTTGATGAGACAGAAATGACCAAGAACTGCAGCGATGGCTTGTCTTCCCAGTTGGTGACTGGACATGAGGGAAAAAGTCAAGTCAAGACAAAGCAAGAGGAAAAAATGAGAACCAAAAAAAAGTGGACTAGAGAGAGCTGGGGTGGTGAGCACGGAGTGAAGCCTTCTAGAAAAACACGAGAAAGTGAAAGGTACCTTAACCATGAGAGGAGTTCTGAGGAAGGCTTAGAAGACAGTTCGGAGGAGGTGCTGAGGTGTGAGAAATGCGAACAGGAAAGGCAGGCCAGAGAAAAGTTACGAAGGGAAAGGCAGGCTGAGGCCTCATTTGAGAATAGAGACTTGAATGCAGGTGCGTGTCAGAGGTACCACGTAGAAAGAAATACAAAAGTCAGGAAGTGCCGGAAGTCTCCTGAAACTTGTCTGGAGGGTGAGGAAGTTGGCTGGAAAGATAATGGCAGTAGGCGGATGTGGAAGCCGCTACATAGGATCGTTAGTGAAGGGCTGGAGAAACAGAAGAGGAGCGTTGAGAAAGAAAGGGATGTAGAGAAGCATGAAAACCATGGGAAGGAAGTAGTAAAAATCAGGAAGAATGCCGTAGAAGGGCTCCAGCTATCTCATGAAGTGAAGGAAGATAATGGAAGTAGCTGTGTAATGAGCCAAAGTGGTTGGCTAAAGAAAGACTCTCTGAGGGATGCTGAGAAAATGTCTAAAACACATAGGGAGGGCAGAGAGGGACAAAGGGCTAAAGAGGAAACTACCAGAAGAGAGGGGCATGCCACATGTAGAGAGAGTGACATGACTCGACGAGAAAAAACAGGGGAGCGCAGAGTGAATAAAGAAGACAACAAAGCTCAGGGATTGGAAAGCGCAAGCCGGAGGTATGCCATTAAAAGCAGAACTGATGTGGAAAAGCACTATGAGATTGGCAGAACTATTGGGGATGGGAACTTTGCAGTGGTGAAGGAATGCCGCCACTGTGATTCCAATCAGATCTATGCAATGAAAATTGTTGATAAATCCAAGCTGAAGGGGAAGGAGGACATGATGGAAAGTGAAATCCTGATTATTCGGAGTCTCTCTCATCCCAATATAGTAAGCTTAATTGAGGTGTATGAGACAGAAGCTGAGATCTACTTAATATTAGAGTATGTCCCAGGAGGTGACTTATTTGATGCAATCATAGAAAGTGTGAAGTTCACGGAGCATGATGCTGCTGTCATGATCACTGACCTGTGTGAAGCACTGGTTTATATTCACAGCAAGAACATTGTCCACAGGGACCTCAAACCGGAGAACCTTTTGGTAAGTATTGTCAAACATTTGCATTTATGCAGGAACTGAATTTATTTTCCTTACAATTACGGTTCTTTGAATTGTTTTAAGCAAATCCCATGCAGAAATAATGTGCTGTGGCAGGACTGTTTGAAAGAAATGGGTACAATTTTGAAGTGAAATTGCAGTTGCAGTTTGCTTTACATAGATCTGCTGTTCATTGCGGATAGCGGAGGCTGCAGCAATTGAAAGGAGTTCAAGTAAAAATTATCAGACCTTCAGGGGAAGTGAGCATTTGTATTTTTCAGAAATCAGACCTGTTACTTAGCATCTGACTCTTAGGTGTCCAAGGATGAATCGTAAAGCATCTTCCTTGCAGACTGAAGTTTATTAAAAGTTCTAATTTATCTTATTTATTTGTTGGATTTTTTGTCCACTGCATTTGTATATCTTGAAGACTACTGTGCTGGTCCTCTACAATAGTGATTTCTATCTTGTGACAATTTCTTTGCTTAGAAGCAGAAATATTGTTCAGTTGATTGAAATGATCTGACAGTAAAATGGTGAATACAGCATTAAAGTCAGCTCAAGGATTAACTTCATGCCAAAGAGAAAAAATTCTTGTGTCCATTACATTTCTGAGGCTGCATTCTTTGCATCCAGCACTGAAGTCAATAGAGTTACTGGCATGTGTGAATATGCATAGAAATGTTTGTAGTATTGACATTTTACAAGATACCCATTGTAGAACTGTAATAGTAAACAAATCTCCCTTACTAAGTGTGTATTACACTCTTGTATTAGGGTTCCAAATCTCCTAATAAACAGATAAATAGCAAGTATTTGCCAGTCTCTAACAAAATGGATTTTATCAGCTTTTGTGGAAGTTCACAGTTAGCCAAACACAAAAAAATAAGTAATAGATTATTTAGTCCTATGGGCCATTCAGTGCTTTTAAGTGAATTAATTTTGCACAGAGATCATTGTGAATTTCTGGAGGAAAGCAGCACTGTAACCTCAAGGATAACACAGAGGTTGCACAAGGCTGGGCTGGAAGAGTTTCTCACAAACCTTTAAACTAAGCAATCACATCCTTATTAGGTCCTGCTATGAATCCTGCTTAGTTTAATGAAAATCTTTGGTGTGTGAGCTCTGTGTAAATAAAAGAATGAATGCAACTGGCTGGTTTGCAGGCAGAAGTGGACTTGTAGGCCCTGCCTTTGTGCTTCCTTTGCAAAAAGTTTGAACAAAACTTCACTTAGAACTGCATGGCTTTTTCCAGAAGCTGATTTTCCATTATGAACCAGGTCCTGCTCCTTCCTATTTGCTGAAAATAAGCTAGTGTATGTGAAACACCTGAGATCTGATGCTTCATTTCCTTCTATAATACATAATCATCACAGTGATGTAGATAAGCAAAGAAGGGCAAGATAAAGGTCTGTTCTGGTTGTTTTCACATTTAGTTCACAGAACTGCAAAACGGAGAATGCTGGGCAGTGACAGCATTGTGTAGCTCTGAAATAATCACGATGCCCATTCTGAAAGTCAGAATACATTTTTCAAGGACAGAGCAGCACCCAGACTTTAGGTATTTTGTCATACAAGAACAGGGTTACCTAAACACTGCCGGAAATAAAATTTTACCTGTTCTAGTTTCAACTTGCTGTTAATTTTCTGTGCATACCAATACTAGTTACTGTGTATACAAAGTATCCTTTTGGAAAGCAAGTCTATTCAACCATGCAAATGAGTTTATAAAGTCCTGATAGTATTGGATAGGTCACCTGCTATCTAATAAGTATTCCTATAAATACAGGCCATCTGAGCAAGATTCTGGGGTTTCTGTTGTTTTAGTGTGCTGCCTCTGTCTCTTTAGAGTGGCTGGGGCAGCAAAGAAGGAAGGAGAGCTGCCACTAATCTTACCATCAGCCAGTGCTGAGCAGTAACAAAAGTATTGAAGCAAATTTCATGGGCTCATTGGCTGCTGGTGGAGCAGGAGCATCAGGAGATGAAGCAAAGTTCTTCAAGTTCCAGCATCCTGCAGAGATGTCCCTTGTTGCACCAAGGGTGTTTAAATCTGAATTAGTATACCTAGACTTTGTACACAGAGGTCAAAATATTGGTATGCACTTTTAGGCTGTTGACTTGTTTGTCTTACTTTGGGTTTTCTTTTGGTCAGGTGAACCTTGTAATCTTTATCTTCTGTTTTTCCCCTTCAAGAAAATGGGAAATGGATGAGAAGGAAGGGATCCTTGGCCTGTTTTACAAAGAAAATGTATATGTCTGCTCTGAACCTGCATTGTGTGAGAATCTAACAGTGTTCCTAATGACTTTTAAACATTTGGTTAATTGTCACAAGAGATGACAAAAGCAGCAATCTGGGAAAAAATATTTCCCTAAGTTTTATGAAAATAAGCAACTGGGGAAAGAAGGGAAGCAGTTTCTGTCCCCACAGAAGAAAAGGTAGAAATATAATTTGATGTCTAGTAAATTGTAAAATTCAATATTGACACAGGAAATATTTGAAACCTGGTTTAGCTATTAGTTCACTGCACTTCAGTTTCTCTTATGGAACTGTCCTCTAGTTATAAACTTCTGCAGCAGGCCACCGTCATCCTTTCTGCTTTTCCCCCTCCCTCTTTCACTACCGTGTCTGCCCACATTGATCAGGCTCCTTGCAGCATAGCTGTGAGGCAGAAGGGTGGTGACTTGCGCTACAAAAACAAAATCTGTTTGACAGCTGGTGTGAAGACAGCTGCTACGACTCCCTCCCATCTGCTAACAGAATCACCTCATTTTAGACTAGGTGTTCAGTAGGAAAACCTTTGCTGCCAAGGATGGGCAGTGTGGTGTGTTTGGTCTCCCAAATGAAGCCAGTCACTTCTTTCATTCTGCCTTGTGGAGCAAGATTTGCTGGCAAGATTTTTAGGTAAGGGACTGTTTAATTCTACAGCTGCTGGTATTTCTTCACTTGTGAGTGAGAAATTAATGCCCAAAATGTGCTGTTGTTTTTCCAGGTTGTAGCTGTAAAAGAGAAAAAGTCACCCCTTTTTAGGGGGAAGGGAGAGGGCTGTATTTGTGATTGTGTACTCATCTCCTTGCACATTCCCTCACATGCTAATGTGGTGATCTTCAAAACTCAACTTCACAAGTGTTACAGCTTTTTATCCATTTGAGATTACCCCCTGCTCCTTTTTCTGTCTCTCAAGTTTTCATGCATGTGTGAGAACTTCAGGTATAGCCTTTCTGCCCTTGAGCTTTGTGACACTATTTACATATACACAAAGGACTGTCCATTTTCCAACCCTATTTACATACATACAAAGCACTGACAGTTTTCTGAGTGCATATGAGTCAAAATCCTGTTTAACCACTTACCTGCCATAACTTTCAGAATTTTCTGTAAGATTTTTCATAGAGGTTCTTCTAGCTAGCAGGAAGGGATATCTGAAACTCAAACGTGTAAGCAGTAGTTTTTCTTAAGCTCTATCTATTTCCCAGATGCAAAATGTCACATGGGCTAACTGGGTTTCATTATTTTCATTATTTCATAAGAAGAATCTGTGCTACCATATATATGTGCATACAGAGAAATATTAATGTTGTAAATCATCAGCTTAAACACACTGATGGATTTCACAAGGTAGATATGAAGTCAAACAAGGGCATTAAGTACTGGGAGTCATCTGCAGACAGGAGAGAAGGAGAAAGGTATTGGTTTGGTTTTTTATTTTTTTTCCTTTGAAGATGAATTTGACCTTATATTGTAATCTTCCAGTTGTATGGCTGGGATAGCTAGAAATCCTCAGAGAATATTCTAATATTCTGACATGTCATCTGTATTTGAGTAAGTTGTGTGCAGTTGACTGCCTATAGTCCAAGGCCACCAGATGCTGGCAGTTGAAGGACATAAGTATTTGTATGGCCTAAATTGCCTGTCTATAGAAAAGGTATCGAAGTGTGCTGGTCTTTCTTACCTCAATTAAGTCTATAGGCAGGCAGCACTATTTTTGCTTTGTTCTCACCATTGCATGGAATACATACTGTGAATGTCAGAGGTTAGATTTCTCTCGAGCAGGTTGTGCATTTGTGTAATACTGCTGTGAGGAAGTAGCCTGGCCTCAGGAATGATTAAAAAGAACCTGAGAAGCTTTTGTTTCTACAGTGAAGCATATTTTCATGCTCAAGGTGATGCCAGGTGATGTAAAGGTAGACGGGACGGGAGGAAGTTGGGGACAAGGGGAATTCTCTGAGCTGACTGAGTTGTTCTGAGCACAGCATTAGTGAAGCTACTAAGTTCTGGGCTGAGGTTTTCAGGCTTGCTGACAGGTTACATGCTGTCTCTGAAGTGATTGTCACAAAGCTGTGAAACTATACCCACTGTGCCTGCTGTTCCTACCTGCTCCACTGATAAGTAAAGTGGAAGCTCAGTGATTTTGTCCTGAAAGAACAGATGGTGCTGTGTTGCCACCTTGTGCTGTAAAGGGAGATTAGGAGTCTGGCATCCTGAGAAAAGAAAAAGTGTAACAGTGCATTTTACAAAGCTAGAAATCTGAAGATTTTGGGACTGGGATTAAGACCATTGTGTTCTCCACCCTTCCCATCACCCTGCTGTTTTCTAAAAATGTGTATAAACGTTTCAATATTGTTTGTCTTAGTACAGTAGTGTGCAGGGTAGTTAAAATTCCATGTGATATGCTTTTCTTATGTAATTAAATACATTTATATATTTATAATATTCATATAATATATTAATATAATTAAATACATTAAATGCATTCATGCTCATGTTTTTGTATTGCATATAAAATTGAGCATTTCAATTGTGAATTTTTGTAACATCTTAACACTGTTACCCTTATAGATAGAATATAAATTCTTTAGATAGATGTTGTTCTACAAAGCAGGTGTTACTTTTATAATTTTTTGTCATTTTTGTCAGTTTGTGTCCACAACACATGGTGGCAAAAGATTGTCACATGGTTGCCTAATATAATAGAGAAAATGGCTGTGGCATTTTAGCTTCTTCTTGCAGTTTTGACTGCATGGTTGTAGTAAACTTTATTTTCACTTTCATACTGAAAAACATTTTTTCATGGAAGAGCAGCCAAAAAAAACCCAAAATATTTTGCTTAATCAAAACTAGAAGAGTGCACAAGGGCGCTGCTTGTTGTTCCCCAGGACCCCCAGCTCCTTCTCTGCAGAGCTGCTTCCCAGCTGGTTAGCCCCCAGTACTGATGCATTGGTTATTCCTGCCCAGGTTTTGGACCCTGCACTTGTCTTTGTTAAATTTCAAAAGGTTCTGCTCTGCCTCTCAGGTCTGCTGAAATCCTTCTAAATGGCCACATAGCATTCTGGGCCATCAGTCAATCCTCCCAGTTTTGCGCATTTTTTATAAAGAAGGTAAAAAAAGATTAGTAGTCTTTACTGTATTATTTTTTATTTTTGTATTGCATTAAAAAATGCAATATTTTTTGTTTCTTAAAAGGAAAAAAATCCCGCAAAAATCCACCAAAAAGTCCAAAACCATTTTGTCTAATCAAAATTGAATGCATACTTACAGTCTCTATAAAGATGATTAATGGGGATTAGTCATCTGTAATGTAGAAGAGCAAATTTTGTCATATCTATGCCTTTAGTTATCTGGTACTAGAGACCATCCTGAATTTTTGGCTTTCTTAAGCGGTGTCTGATGGCAAAATATGAGGTGTTAAAGCACAGAGTATACCTGTCACATAATATTCTGGTTTGTCCATTCAAAACCAAGTCCAGGTATAAGTGGCTTTTTTGTAGACATTTTAGCTGCTGATCTGTTCCCCATAGTTCCAAGGACAAACAGTTTTTCATTTAAAGGAAATTAAAGACTTTTTTACCTCTCAAAGAATATTTGAGCATCAATCACTAGTATTAAGCATACTGATCTATTTAATTATACTGTTGCATTGTTTATGGCTTGGCCTTCGAATATGAAATCCTAAAATAGTTTGGGTTGGAAGGGACCTTTAAAGGTCATCTGGCCCAAGCCCTGGTAATGAGCAAGGATATCTTAACTAGCCCAGGTTGCTCAGAGCCCTGTCCAACCTGACAGTGAATGTTTCCAGGGATAGAGTATCTACCACCTCTGTGGGCAGCCTGTTTCAGTGTTATGCTATCCTCATCATAAAACATTTCTTCTTAGTATCTAGTCCAAATCTATTCTTCTTCAGTTTAAAGTTATTTTCCCTTGTCCTATTTCCTCAGGCCCTGCTACAAAGCCTGTCCCCATCTTTCTTTTAAGTCTTCTTTATTTATTGAATGGCCACAGTAAGGTCTGTCTGGAACCTTCTTTTCTTCAGGCTGAACAACCACAATTCATGCAGCCTTTCCTCACTGGAGAGGTGCTCCATGTCTTTTTCCCAGCCCTCCTCTGGACTGGCTCGAACAGGTCCATGTCCTTCCTGTGCTGGGCCTCCAGAGCTGATGCAGCACTGCAAGTAGGGTCTCACCAGAACAGAGCAGAGGGGAAGAATCCCTTCCTTCCCTTGCTCTGCTGGCCACGCTGCTTTGGATGCAGCCCAGGATATGCTTGGCTTTCTGGGCTGTGAGTGCACACTATTGGCTCATTCCAGTTTTTCATCTGCCAGCTACCCCAAATTGCTTTTCACAGGGCTGTTCTCAATCCATAATCCATTCTGTAGTGATACAGGGGATTTCCCCAGCTCACGTGTGGGACCCTGCACTTGTCCTTGTTGAACCTCATGAGGCTCAACCTTCTTGAGCTTGCTCAGGTGCCTCTGGATGACATTCCATCCTTCAGACATGTCAAACTCATCACTCAGCCTGGTGTTGCCTGCCAGCTTGCTGAGGGTGTGCTGGATCCCACTGCCTATGTCATTAACATATTTCATTTCTTAAAATAACCCTTCATTAAATGCATTATAAAGTAATGCTAAAGACCTGTGAATACAAAGTTAGAATTGAAGAAAGTATTTTGACAACTTGCCAGGTGGGTGTAGGAGATGAGAACTGCTGAAAAGGCCCAATTAGGAGGTCATTCTGCATGAACCTATTTCTACAACTCTTGCTGTATGGTCACCATTACTAATCTAGTTTCAGGGCAGCAGGTAGAGTAGCAGAGCAATTTGGAAAGAAAGTAAAGCCTTTGTTGGTTTGTATTTTGTTGTTAGATCAGTATGTTGGAGATACACTTCCCATATGTCTTGATTTTAGCTGTACAGTACTGTAATTTGGATTTAGTATGAGAATAACATTGATAGCACACTGATGTTTTGGTGGCTGCTGAGCACTGCTTATCCTAAGTCAAGAAATTCTCAGTGTCCCACGCTTTGCCAGGTAGCAGGCGTACCAAAAGCTGGGAGGGTATTCCTTGCCATGCAACATTCTCCTCAGTAAATAAACTGAGGAGAGTTGGCCAGGAGTTGCTGGTCTGTGCTGGGGGATGGCTGGGCTGAGTTGGGCTGGGGTCATTGGGCAGTGAGCAGTTGTATTGTGCAGCACTTATTTTTCTTGGGTTTTATTCCTTTCTCTTGGTCTGTTTCCCTATCCCCTTTCTCTTTATAGTTGTTACAATTCCTACTGTTATTATTATTATTATACTTTAATTTCAATTATTAAATTGTTCTTATCTCAACTCACTGATTTTTTGGATTCTCCTTCCCATCCCACTGCAAATGGGGGATGGGTGACTGAGAAGTTGTGTGGTACTTAGCCACTATCTGGGACTAAAACACAAAAATAAAGTCAGTAAGTTACCTGGGCTCATTGCATTTGAGCATAAAGATGTCCACAACATACTTCTTTGTTTTCCCAGGGAAAAAGAACACTTTATTTTCTCAAGAGGAAATAATAATATTTAATTGACTCCTGGTTCTTTTTTGTGTTCATTCTGTTAATCTATTGGAAGTTGCAGTGTGCCAGAGTTTGTAGAACAAAGTTTTCTTTTTTTCCATAATTGCTTATCCTCTTAAGTAAATGGACCCTCTTAGTGTACGGGGGGAAAGACCCATGTTCTGAAGACTGCTTCCAGTATTAGTACTATTATTAGACCTCCTCCCTGTTTAATTTTCTGCTTCCTTTATATTTTGCTGTTTTAAAATGCATCTGGACTAAACATATATATGTATTTTGTTTGGATATAGGTTCAGCACAATGCAGATAAATCTACTACACTGAAACTGGCAGATTTCGGCCTTGCTAAGCAGGTTACAAAACCCATATTTACTGTCTGTGGAACACCAACGTATGTTGCTCCTGAAATACTTGCTGAGAAGGGTGAGTGTATATATTTTTAATTTGTCATAAATCTTTCAATTATGCTGAACTTTCTAATAATGGAAGTAGTCCAGAATGTTTCAACCTACTGAAATGTTTTTTCAGGGTAGGAGGTTGGCTAGCAGTGTAATTTGGGAAAGGAAACCTCTTAGTTTTTAACAAACACAATCATGACATCAGTTATATTTGCATTATTAGTGTCTGTGCAAATATATAACTGGCTTCCAAGCAGACAAGCCATAAAGTATCATAGATAATAACAGCTGAAAGGGGGAAATGACCAAAAGTTCGTGTTGCAACCTAAGAGTAGCCAGCCCAATTTCATTACTGTAATCCAAAGAACTTTCCAAAGCCCCTGATGGTGAAAAGTCGGTGTGAATGTGTATGATAAATTTATGTAACAATTCAAAACATGTTTCTCATCACTGGGAATTTTGAAGATATCATCTGCAAAAAGATTAAGACCTGGAAAGAAGTCAGTTTTGTTGGTGACTCAAGAAAATCTATTTCTGGTTTTTGTTCTGTGGAGCTGGGTTGCACATCTCCAGTTATATCCAATTTCAATGGAAACTTGGCACTCCTAGTTCTTTTTTGAAGGGAATCTGAGGATGACTATTTTAGAAATATGTGCTCTGTTTCCTCAATTAGTCTCCAGTTGACACTGGCCTAGTGAGACAGTGTTTGTGAAACATGTGGAAAAGAGAGACTCTGTGAGAGCTGTAGCTAATAAAGGGCAGCTTGTAAGCGTGGTGTACCAGCCACTCGTTCTTTTGCTCACCTTATCTTTCTGAGAAGCTGAGCAGAGATTCTGTGCTTCTTTTTCATTCTATTTCCAAGAAACAGTTCCTCCTCAGTTGTGAGTTTTCTTTCTGAAACAAGACTTAAAACAAGACTTATGGTTTGTCCCTCCTTCCTTAGGCTATGGCCTTGAAGTGGACATGTGGGCAGCTGGTGTGATCCTTTACATCCTGCTCTGTGGCTTTCCCCCTTTCCGCAGTCAGGACCGTGATCAGGAGGAGCTGTTTCAGATCATACAGCTGGGTCACTACGAGTTCCTATCCCCTTACTGGGACAATATTTCTGCAGGTAAGATTCTGCACTTATAGCAGGTCTGAGAAGTGTCAGTCTTCTTCCCTGAAGTAGGAAAAACTTTTTTCAGGGCAGTGAGCTTGATCAGCTTGGGGTGTTTTATTGGTCTCTCTTGTGTGAATTTGTGCTTTAAATGTGAATTTAGTCCTCTGGTACTAAATAGCTGTGTTTCTGCATATTAGTTCTGAATGATTTAATACATTTAACTCAGTTCACCCCTTTCTAAGCAAAAGCAAGGATTTTCCTCCTCATGTGTCTCTGCAGAAACAGGTGTCAAAATAATCTCAAGGGTTATTTTAAATGTAAAGATGTTACCAAAATCTCTAAAGCTGAGAATGAAATCCTTGCCCTGCAGAACAGTGTTGATTTCCTATTGACAGTGGGGTCTGCACATAGTAGTTTTTTTATTTCTCACAGGCTAGTACAGTGTCTTTTGTGCACTCTTCAAAAATCAGAAACCCTAAAACTTCTTCACTCCCTGTGCAGTCTTTCAAAGAGCATGTTCTACAGCATTTTACATTTATGCCTCTTAAGGGATGAGATAGCCAGTGCTATGACACATTCACATTCCTGTGAATGTGAACACTTGGCCTGATGCCTTCAGCATACTTTTTGAGATTAAATTCCCTTCACTTGCTCCTCTGTTTCTGAAGGGGAGAATGACATCAGTCATGGACATTTAATATTTTCTGTCACTAGCTCTAACTGCAGTTGTTAGAACAGATCCTGGGGATAGTCACACAAACCATGACAAAACTAATGAAAAAAATAAGAAGGACATTTTATGTGAGTATAATTGTCACCATCACAGGATGGGTAAGGTTGGAAGTGACCATGGTGGGTGATGTGTTTCAAACACCCTGCTCAAACAGGGTCATCCTAGAGCATATTGCACAGGATTTCACATCCTAGAGCGCATTGCACACCACCGTGCTTCACTCCTCTCTCCTTTGCTTTCTTCCATAATAGCAGCAAAAGACCTCATCACCAGGCTGCTGATAGTGGATCCCCAGAAGCGCTACACAGCACGCCAAGTACTTCAGCACCCCTGGATCAGAACAGCGGGGAAAACTAACAGCAGGAATTTGCAGAGGGAAGTGACAATAAACATTGAGCGCCATTTCCGGGCCCAGCGCCGAAAGGAAGTTGTTGATGAGGACACATGAAATCCTTCAAGCTCATTTTGTCTTCTTTTTATTGATTAAGAAATCATTTATGTTTTCTTTTTTTTTAAATGAATTGGGAATTTAATGTGTAGCTGTTGGTGGCTATTGCCATGCCTTTTGCCTTTTTTTTTTGATTCTGAGATTCTGAAGGACAGAGATCAAATTCACATTCACCTCTTTTGATGTTACTTGGCAGTCTCTCTGTTGAAAGCAGTGGGGGACTAGATAAATTCTGGAGGGTATCTATTATTTTTCTTTAAGTACACATTTGGGCTTTTACATCCTTTACAAATGTTTGCTTCTGTGACTGACACTAGTGGTGAGTCTTCTCTCAACCTTTTTGTATATCCTCCAGGAGTTTTGTGTTTCTAATGTTTTCAAAATATCTGTCTGCATACACATCTTGGACTAATTCTTTAAATTCCTTCTATCCACAGAGAAGGAAGAATAAAAATAAATATATACTTTAGCTGTAGAATATAATATATAATCAGCCAGATACTGTTTTTATTAAGTTGTGAGGAAATACAAACCCTTATTGACCAAATCTGATATTTTATGATATCTCCCTTGGCAACATCTGTCACTGGTTGTTCAGGCTAATAGATGGTACAATGTTGCTGTTACAAGAAGGTGGTGCTGTGTACTGTGGAGGTTTCATTTGTTTTTAGAAGGTGGAAGATATGGCTGATACCTTTTCAAGATTCAAATAATAACAACTTTCAAAGAGGTTTTCTTCCTACTCTGGGCAATAGGAGGTTAAGTGGTTCCAAGGGCACTTTGCTTCTTTTCCCAAAGTCATAATTATGGAATGGTAACTCAGTCATTTTTCCATATTGAGATTTTTCCCTCTTAGAGGCATCCATGTGCATCTTTGACTTGTCCATGCTGATGAAGAAGAAAAAGCTGGGAAATTGTGACTAAAGTTAACCCTTGCCTTCACAGTTTCCCTTTCATCAATACACTTCACAGCTGAATTGTTTTTTTACATTTTTTCAGTGTAGTTTAGCAATTGGTTTATTTGCTTGGGTTTTTTCTCACTCTTACCCTTGCTGTGACCTTTTTCTCCTTGCTTCCATGAGAATAGGAAATGGGATGAAATTAGACTAAAATCCAGCTTGGGGAAAAACAACTCGGCTGTGGAAAGTTCTCCCAGGGGGAGTGTCAGATGCTCTATTGCACGTGTTTTTTTAATATTTTTATTGGATGCAGTTTTAAAGAAATCCTGTGGGGGAAAAATACAGCCCAGAGAGGGGCTATGACCTGGACCAGCTTTTGAATCTCAGAACTTTTGATTAACTAATTCAAAATGCACTTGAGTTTTCCATTTTATAATGGAAATTTATTTGTCCTCGAGTTCCATGTGATAGAAAATTATATTGATGTTAGAATATAAGTGGTGTTGGCATTGAATACACAGCCTTTAGAAATGAAAGAGGGTGTTTTACTCTTGGAGAGCTGCTGTTCTGCCTTTGTATTTCATAAAGACAAATGTCAGAAGCATTTCAGAATCAGTGAAACATTTTCACAGCTATATTAACCAGAATATTATTTTTTGGTGAGTGCTAATATTTTGTGTGAACTTGCTGAATAACCAAAAAGTGTAGGGTGCTGTCATCATGTTCCTGTTACATCATCACTTGACTCTTAAAGGAGAATTGCACTTTAAATTAGCTTACTTCTAATACTTACTGGAATAAGACTTGCTATGGAGTTCAAGAATTGGTGAAACAAACAAATCAAATCTTTACTGTATGCCCAAGTAGTAGCTATATGGTATGTCATACTTCTGCTTTGGAGTCTCTAAGTCAGGAAGACTTTTTCTTTTCCTGAAAACAAGAATGAATTTAAGTGCTTCCCTGAGTTAAGGGAACCTAATGTAACCTAATATTATAAAAAACATTACATCGTATTTGAGTACTAGTAATAAATGTATCCTCTGTTAATTTAACTCTATTTTGGATAGGAAATTGTGGAAAAATAGCTTCTGATGTGCAATACTATATTTTGTAATTATCTTATTTTTAATATAGTTGTTTAGGAATAAAGTCTGAAGTGACAAAAAATAATTTAATCAACAATGAATCTGAAAGTTTGGAGATTGTGTTACAAGTTGCCTTTTTCACCTTTAAGAACCTGTCTGCAGCCTTATTCATAGTGCAGAAGATGGAGAATTTGCTTGTAATGATTATAAAAGTAATTATTTTTTGAATGATTTTTCTTTTCTTTCAAGTTCTGTTTTCCAGACAGGCTAAGCATGGACTGTGCCAGGTGGTCACTGCATGGCTCCTGTAAGTACAGATGCTGCTGTGGCAGTGCTGAGGCACAGGTTTGTCACTGTTGCTAATAGACTTGTGGCACTAGGCCCTCCTCCTTCAGGCTGGAGGCTGAAAAAGCTTCCAGGTGCTTCTCAGGGTTTTTACCTCTTTCTTTCTTTCTTTCCTGCTTTGTTTTTACTTCTTTTCTCTTGTTGCTTACAGTGTTCTTGCTCTGCCTTTGTGCTGTCTGAGGGAGTCCAAGTCCCCATACATGTTTAACTTGAGCAATGAAAACCAGTATGATTTTGGAGAGCTCAGCCTCAAGCTTTGCTTGCTGATATTAAAAATCATATTAGGCAGGAGTAAGACAAATAATGGTGAAAATCCCCTCTCATCTCCTACTGCCTTTTCTCAGGCTTTTCTTTTTCCTCTGTGTGGTGTTCTAATGCAGACCTGATCTTTATGCTCTGTAAGGGGGTTTCTAATATATGGACCATGTTCATACTGTATGATTGAGGATTATTGTTGCTCTTCCTTTCCTAAGGTTTTTCTAATGTGTTCTGTCTCCTTGGGTTCTGGACTCATCTTCCCCTTAATGTTTTCATTTCTTGATTGGTTCCTTTCTCTGCAGTAAGTCTGAGGAGGCTCAAAGCTGTGGGAGATTATAGACTCAGAGCAAATTATTGTGGATTTGTTAGGAAGAAGAAATACCCCTTCTTGCTCTTCCTTAAGTCTTTTTGGATTAGACTGTCATATGACTTTATATTCCACTGAAAATAAAATAAGATATGGTGTCCTCATCTCTTTAAATACTAGCAATGAAGAGAGTCTATCATCAAGAAAAACAACCTCCCCCCAAGAACTAAGTGCAAAGTATTAATGAATATTGCAGACCTTAACAGGAAAGTTCCACTTCCAGAGGATTTGCTGGGTCTAAGGCAACAGAAGGCAAGAACCTGTTTGTTTGCTGCAAGCTTTAGCAAATCAGCTGAGTAGGAATCCTTTCATGCCTCTTAAAGGGTATTGTTTGGTTCCTAACTCATCATGGAGATCTTGATAAAGTTCTAGTTATTCCACAGTTATTTCTTTACTATCTGGTATTGACTATTTAAAATATATTCTGCTTTTAGAAACCAGAGGCTCTCCATTATCTTTAACTATTGACTTGGCTCTTCTTTAGCTGGTTGCAGCTTTTAAACATGCTTGCTTATTTTCATGCCCTAACTGTAGTATTTCTCAAACTTGAAGCAGGCACAAAGATCCAAGCATATTAGAACTGAGCCATCAATATTTCATTTTATAGTGAAACACATTTGTCATAGGTAGAGTTGTTTTTTTAGCTTTTTCAGCTACCTGAAGATGAAGTAGTCCCTGGATATCCCCTCCATTTGCCACCAAGGTCAGCTTCTTCACTTTCCCATTTGCTATTACATTTAATTGATCCTAGACCTCACCTACATATTTTCTATCACCTATCATCTGCCTACTGTCACTGGCCTCTTACACCCTTGGATCACTCCCATTATTGAAACATGGTGATGGTGAAATCTTCACATATTAATTTGCTTGTATATTTAGTCTCCTAACATTTAAAAATGTGTGCCCAGGAGACTCATGATTGAAGCTTGACAATACAGCAGAGACTGTTTCTTCTGAGACACAGATACTTTATCTTCTTTTATTTAGGAACCTTCTTAATCTAAGATTGTTCAGGGGCTGTGTGGAATAGCTGGATTCAAACACCATCAAATCTACCACCTGTCTTCTGACTGGAATTATAGGTGGATTTCCTGTATCTCTGTTACTGCAATTTTTGGCTGTAGGGTGATGAAGGGATAGTGAGTTGTTATCCCCTGAGTTTAGCCTCTTGGGTTTTGGTCTTCTTGTGAAAGTGAACTTTTAGGAGTTGACTGCTTGCTTTTTGGCAAGTACCCATATTTGGGGAGGTATTCAGTCTGCTTGAAAATATAGTAAATTTCCTGTGCTTATTAAAATGATCTTCTCAAAGACACATAAGTATCACTCTTAAATATTTTTCCTATAATTTCTTCTGTCACCTGGACTTATTTTAGTTTAAGCAATGTAAGGAAAATACTTTTATGTTTCTGGGCATGTGTTTTTCTGACTTTTCTATGTCCACAAGTAATACTTTATTGTTGACATTCTTGCTCCTGAAAGGGATTATGGGCACTTTAACTGGGCTGACAGTGTATAATGGCACTGTTTGTTCTACAATATGGTTTATTTGTAACTAGGTTGAAGGTGTAGTTTTCTAAATTAAAATACATTGTAGACTTCAGCAGAAAAGTTGTTACTCCTCCTCCTGTACCTCCAATAAAGGTAAATTATACAGTAAATGTTATGTTTCAGTTCTTTCCAATAAATTGGTAAACAAATGTTTGTTGTTGTTGTTTGTTTTTTATTTTTTTTTTTTTTCTTCTGGCAATGTATCTGTTTTGGAAATGCTTGTTTTAAAAGGTTTGCAGTTTCAGTAAGTATTGTGTACACCTTCATTTACAAATAGCAGAACCCTTTCTAATGCTGCAGTCCTTTGAATACCTACAGTATTTATCTTACAGTGTTTGTCTTTGCTGCTGCAGATAATCCCATTAAATCCACCACAAATCTTTGCAGAACTGGAGCTGAGATTTATTCTACCACCATTTTTTCCCATATTGTGTTAGTCATACATGCTGTGATGTTAGAGCGATCATGACAAGCAGACTTGGCTTCACTTATGCTTAATGCACACAGGAATGACTTCTCCCATCATTAAAACTTCTGTAAAATTCAAGTTTGTTTAGAAAAAGGTTTGCTTTCTTTGTGGAAACAGGCATTCCATTTGGAATTGAGTTGCTTGCAAAAAGTGGCTTTTTCAAAGGAGACTGTTTCTTAGTAGCCTGTGTATGTTTCAGTTCTGTTATTAAAAGTGGTATTTTCCCGCAGGCCTGCAGTATCGTCTGAAGCAGTGGAAATTAAATTGTGTCTAGGATATTGATGGTGTTTTTGAAGAAGCTACCTTCTCTGCATGTGAGCATGTGTGATAAAGTGGCTTCCAGTGAGAAAAGTTTATTGTATATTGGTCCTTAAAGACATCACAGCCTCCTCATTACTCTAAGAATAACTGTAAACTCTTTGGAATGACTGACTTTCATGATAATCACACAAATTTATTACACTTCATTTTAGCAATTTGTATAGACAGCTAATTAAATCTGTTTTAGTGCTTTGCTGCTAGGAGTGGGATTCAGATGTGTTTCTGTGTCAGAAGTAGCTGAAGGCAGAGTCCAGCAGTGCAGTAAATTTTTGTGAGTATCATAAAACTCAGACTTTGTATTCTTGCAGATTTTTTTCTTTTTAAATTAGGACAGTTTTGACAAAGTAGCAATTAGAAAATCAGAAAAAGTAAAGCTAATAACCTTAAACTGTCATTTGGAAACATATTTCGTTTTCTGAATTCAGAAACTGATATGAAGAGCCGGAAGCATTTTATAAAACAGAGAAATACAGGAACTATTTCCAGAGTGTTTCAGCAATTAAAGCAATATTTGGTGCAGCGAGAGCATGAAGTACCTTGGTAGGACTGAGCAGGAACTACAACAGGAGCTGTGTGGGATTGCAAGATTATTGGATAAGGAGTGTAGGTCTGAACAAGGGTTGCTCCTTATAACTGCTGGAAAAATCTATTGAATCATAAAAAGTGAATCCTGCATTGTCATTGCTGTCTTTCTAAAGCTTTCTAAATTTCTGTGACAACCACTGTGCTGTAAGAAAGCATTTCCCATGAAGAATTGAATAAAACCTTTTAGATAATGTTTAACATAAAGGATTTCAGCAATGAAGATGATTTTCCTAGAAAACTGAAGTGTATGATTGCTAATCCCTATGGTAAGTTGTCAAGAAAACCTTATTGCTGGCTTTTCAAAAAAAGTGCAGTTTTGTGATCCTAAGCATTTGCAACTACCCAGCTTGCAATGTTGAGAGTTTCAATGACATTGTACTGCTCCAGCATAAAAACTTATTATTTTAACAGCTCAAAAGGAACATTTGTGCCTAGTGTAAGGCTGGAACTAAATGGGCCCAAATGGGTCTTACTAATTTCAGCTTGCCTGGAAACATACTGGCCAGAATATTGTTCATATGGTGAGGGATGGATGAAAAATGTATTATTTGACAGTGTTTCCAGTGGAAGCATAAAAATGTTCTTGAAAATGGGAGCATGTTGGTTGTTTGGCTAAAAACCAGCATGTTTCTTGGTAGGGTATTATTTCTTCAAGTAAAGAAAGAGGGAGAAACACCCTATCAAATAGCCCCTCATGATTTGAAACAAACAAATAAAAAAAGATTCTGTAAGAAGAAAGTGGGAAATAAGAGGAGGAAAA